GAGCCAGGTGGATCTCTGTGAGTTCGAGGCCAGCCTGGGCTACCAAGTGAGCTCCAGGAAAGGCGCAAAGCTACACAGAGAAACCCTGTCTCGAGAAATCAAAAAAAAAAAAAAAAAGAATGAAGGCAAAAAGAGAAAAAGCCAAATTTCCTTCTTCTGTAGCCTTTTTATCTGATGCCATCCACACTTAGGATGAGTCTTCCTATTTTAAATCATCTGATCAAGAAAGTTCCTTACAGGAATGCCATGAGGCTTCTATTAGAGTTGATTTAAGCTACAGTCAAGTTGGCAACCTGAGCTGGACCACTGGAATCCACATGGTAGAAGGAGAAATTTGATCAGCACAAGTTGGCCACTGACCTCCATGAATCTCTACCCTCATAAATATTCTCCACATGCACACACACACACACACACACACACACACAAACACAGAGAGAGAAAGAGAGAGAGAGAGAGAGAGAGAGAGAGAGAGAGAGAGAGAGAGAATGAATTACAGACCAATCCCTCCCATGAACATAGATGCAAAATACTCAATAAAGTACTCACAAACAGAATCCAAGAATGCGTCTGCACTGCCATTTAATTTCACTGGATATTGGTCCCATCTAACAGATCCCCTTAAGTTGACATTTCCAAGATTGCAAATATCCCCTCTCATTCTGTGGTAGCAATTTAGCTTTCTCAGACTTAGGTAGTAACGATTTCCTTGAAAATCAACACATTTTCAATGGCCATGGTTAGCAGTCCTGTATGGAAGGCCTTTGAGAAGTTAGAACTTGGACTTTTGGAAAATGAAGACATTTTGAGACACTTTTGACACTTTTGTCTGCTTTGACTCTGCCATTCATGCTTTTTTTTTTTTTTTTGGTTTTTTCGAGACAGGGTTTCTCTGTGTAGCTTTGCGCATTTTCCTGGAACTCACTTGGTAGCCCAGGCTGGCCTCGAACTCACAGAGATCCACCTGCCTCTGCCTCCCGAGTGCTGGAATTAAAGGTGTGCACCACCACTGCCCAGCCTGAACTTCTTAATTAACCAAGGATGACTTTGAATTCTCGATCTTCTGGCCTTTCTACCTCTCAAGTGCTAGGCAAATGCTGCCACAATTGGTTTACGGAGTGCTGGGGGTTGAACCCAGGGCTTTGTCCTTGCTAGACAGGCACCCTACCAACTGAGCCTCGTCCCCAGCTCAGCTGTGGGACCTTAAACCCCAAGACAACTCAACACTCCATCCAGCAATGTCAGTCTGTTGGAATTTTTATTATTTTTTGTACACAGTGAAAATATGAAGTGAAGCTGGTCATGGCACTTGGGAGGCAAAGGCAGGTGGATCTCTGTGAGTTCAAGGCCAGCCTGATCTACAGAGCAAGTTCCAGGACAGCCAAGGCTACACAAAGAAACCCTGTCTTGAAACAAACAAGCAAACCCATCCCCCAAAAAAAGAAAGGAGAAAAGAATTAGCTAATAATAATATTGAAAATCTGAACTTCAAAGATTTTATTTTGATTTAAGTGTGTGTCTGAGGGTGGGGTATATGCATGTGAGTGTAGTGCCTGGGAAGACTAAAAGAGGGTGTTGGATCCCCTGGAACTGGACTTACAGGGGCTTGTGAGCCACCTGACATTAATTTTATTTGTTTATTTTATGTGCGTAGGTGTTTTGCCTGCATGTATGTATGTGCACCATGTGAGTGCAGTATCTGAGGAGGTCAGAAGAGGGCAACAGATCTTCCAGAACTGCAGTTCCAGACAGTTGTGAGCCACTTGTAGGTCTTGGGAACAGAACCCAAGTCCTCTGGAAGAGCAGCCAGTGCTCTTAACCACTGACCCATCTCTCCAGCCTCCTTCTTTCTTTTTAGATGACGTTTCTCTGTGTGGCCCAGTGTAGCCGAGAACTATCGATCCTCTTTTCTCAGCCTGCCCACTCCTGGGATTACAGGTCAGAACACTGCCCCTGTGTAAAAGCTAATGATTCTAATGATAACTGTAGTGAACTGAACACTCCAGTCTCTGTTGAGGGCAAGCCTTTTCTCGTAGTGTTCAGCTCCATTTATGAACTTATTTAATTAAAAGCTCTTAATTATCTTAAGCTGACAGTATGGTTTTTATAAGGCATTCATTTTCCAGTGTTTTAATTGTGCAGTGAGCATTTCTAGGTCATAAAGTAGATGTTGTAAATTTCAAGGCCTGATAATAAAATGATCTGGATGACTCTCTCCTCTGACTTCCTGTCTTTCTTTTCTTCCTTACCAAGTCTCATTGTGTAGACCAGGCTGGCCTAGAACTCATAGATATCTACTTGCCTTTGCCTACGGAGTGCTGTGATCAAAGATATGTAACACCAGATATGGCAACCCACCTAGTTTTTGGAGACAGTCTGGAGTTGGAAGATTTGGCCAGGTCCCCTGGCCATCAACCCCCAGGCAGCCATCTGTCCCCAAATCCCCAGGGCTGGGATTACAGGCATGCTCTGCGATGCCTGGCTTCTTATGTGGGTGCTGAGGATCAAACTGGTTCTCATGGCCGTGTGGCAAGCCCGTGACCAGCTGAGCACCTTCCCTGGCCCTCAGTGACAGCCCCAAGAGTATGAGATGAGTCGGCCACCACTAGTTCCAGCCAGAGCCACCCCTCCTGGAGTGATTAACAGTGCCAAGTGGGTGACTCACTCAAAGCTGTTTGTTTGGTTTGAGATCATAATATAATTACCATATTTCTCCCTTCCCTTTCCTCCCTCCACCCCTCCCATATACCTCTCCCTGATCTCTTTCAAATTCATGCCTCTTTTCTCTCATTTTTATTTCATATATATATTCATATATACATATATTTTTTAATATAGCCTTTCAGTCTAATGTTACATATTTTTTTTTCAGGGCTGAGTATTCAGCCCTGGAAACCCAATTCATGTACTCCTCCTTGAGGAAGATCTCTCTCCAACTCTCAGCTTTCCTTGGTTGCCTGCAGTTCTGTGTGTAGGGCTGGGGCCGTAAGGGCCTCATCTACTTTGGCATGTCTATTGATAATGTCTTTGTTCAGCTCATATTCGGGTGGTCATTTTGATAAGACTTTATGGTGTAGCTTCAGACATTACTGGGAGACAGGATATCACAGGATCACCCTGATCCTCTGGCTCCTGCAACCTTTCCATCTCCTCTTCCGGAATATTCCCTGAGCCTTAGGTGCTGGAGTGTTGTGTAGTGTATCCATTGGGACTGGGCTCCACAAGTGTGCATTTGGACTGGCTGTGGTTTTCTGCAATGGCCTCCATCTGTTGCAAAGAGAAGTTTCCTTGATGAGGGATGAGGACTACACTTCTCTGTGGGAATAAGGACAAATGTTTACGAATTGTTGTTATTATGTTGGCTTAGTAAATTAGTGGTTGTAGATTCCCCTCCAATAACCACAACATCATTAGCACTGAGTAGTTAGCTTGGTTTCTAGTACTGGGCACAGTGACCCTCTTGTTGGGCAGGTCCTAAGTTCAATTGGAGAAACTGTTGGTTACAATCAAGGTATGTGTGCCACTACCACACCCTCCTGGTTACTGTGCCACGCTGGTTGTTGAAGGGGTTCATAGGTGTGATAGCTGGATAGGACTGTGACCCAAAGTTTTAAAACAAAGGAGACGGGAAAAAATGAGGGGAGGGATGCCATGCTTTTAGCCATACTTTAGTTACTTTGTAGGCCCAAGGGAAGAATTAGTGTTTTTAGTACTTATTTTGTTGAGCATGCCTGAGAAGCCAGTCTTCTAGAGCAGAAGCAGGAGGGTCACAAATTGGGACTATGTGAGGAGATTTCTCTCTCTCTCTCTCTCTCTCACACACACACACCTATAAAAGAAAGAGAGAGGGGAGAAGGGGAGAGAGAGAGAAAGAAGGGTTATGTGGGAGTGAGCTGTTCGGTGATATGACCACTCTTTCCTTGTGGGCTCCCCACTGTCCTCGGTGGAGACCCCGCTGTCCTCGGTGGAGACCCCGCTGTCCTCGGTGGAGACCTCGCTGTCCTGGTGGAGACACCCCCCCCCCCCCCCCCCCCCCCCCGCTGTCCTCGGTGGAGACCTCACAAGAGTCAACACCGTTATTTTGGACTTTAAGCCTTAACTGTGTTGCCATAGCACTAAAACATCACAGACCGCTTCAGTGCTATTTCCTGGTAAGAGTGGAGAAGGGGGAAGGAAGTGAACTAAGTACCAGATGAATGGTGACTACTTAGACCCGGGAACTCAACCCTAGGCAGAAAGAAATGCTCACTGAACGAAGAACTTCCAAACTGGGAGGAATCCATGGCCCCAGGCACCTCTGAAACAGGCCTGAAGCAGGAGGCTGAGGGCAGAAGGAAATCCTCAGGGTGGCGGTAAGGGGGGTTCTGGACAGCAGCATCCTCGGGTCTCCAACCTCCTGGCCACCCGTAGGGAATGGCAGGCAGACAGAGGGCCCAGCCGGCCTGAGAGCTCCAGGCCAGCTCTCAAGGTGAAGGTGAAGCTGACACACCCTTGACTTGTTTCAATGCACTGAGCAACCAAGGGCTTCCGTCGGATGTGCAGAGAAACCCACGGCACCCAAGAATAAGCAAACGGCTCTGATGGCCAGGAAGCGTAGTGAG